GACATGAACTTTGGAGGATTAAAGAATTTTAGTGTTTATGAACTTTTCAAGATGACTAAGAGAGCTAGAGATGGCAAGTGAAGTACTTATTTTTGCCACTCATTTCCGCCCCCATTTATAGGCTCATGAAATGGTGATGATTCATCTTAAGTGAATCCAAAAATCTGCAACTCATCCTTTCACAATTGAGTCATCAAATGACTCATCAAATATGGAGATGAATCGTCTCCGAATGCACCTAAATTCAGCACCTCATGGTTAATCATATTAGTCATCAAAATGACTCATCTAATGTGATGATGATTCATTCTCAAATGAACCAAAATTCTACACCTCATGGTTAAATATACGAGTTATCAAAATGACTCATCTAATGTGGTGATGACTCGTTCTCAAATGAATCTATATTCAGCACCTCATGGTAATAATGTGGAAGCTAATAATAATTATAATCCACCTCATCCTTATTATCACCTCGTGCTTGTTTACACTTCGTGTTTGTTAACATCTCGTGCTAATGGCCACCTCGTGCTAATTAACACCTTGTGATTGAAATGGCAATTTATTTTAATTAACCACCAATAAAATTCTAGCTTTTTAGTTTAATGCTCAAAGCATTAGACTATACACGTCAGTCCATAGCCAACAAGCTTTGACTCTTTAATTGATCAGAACAAAAATATTTGTGTGTGACCTTATGGTTCTTGTCACATTGGCAATGACATTAACATTTACAATCATAAACAATAAGTGGCGTCTAGCAATGCATCATTTCTACCCAAGTGATCAAGAAGTTGGGATGATCCAACTCACCTTTCAATATGAGCACTATCACATTGTCATTGTGATCTTGACAAATGTTGTGTCCCTTCGTTATGACATCCAGATAAACCACGAGGCACATATAAGTGTCAACCTCATATAGTGAATCCGCTTTACTTGATATAGAGTAGACATAATATGATGAATATTGATATCAACATATCAATCATTCGAGTATGCATACGTTCCTTAGGCTCACTCCATCAAGGGGCCCAAGGATATCTCTCCGACACAACTTGGAGTAACGAATCATATCTTGGTCTATGCAAGGCTTACTACATAATGAGTTATATATGCACCCAATAACCACTCTATCTCACTCTATTAAGGACGTGATTAAATGAGGTATCAAAGTAACATGCCATCATATAAAAGTCTTCATAACCTCAAGTCAAAGGACAACGTTTTTCGATTACCCGAGAGACACTTATGACACAATTGTATAATCCGTGAAAGTGTTATCCGGTTGGGTCTATCCAACATACAAGTTCTCTACCTCATAACTTACATGTGCATGCCTTAATTCTGTAAGCATCTTTACGTGCACTAGTCTCAATTGTATAAGAGCTGAACAAGTTCTTGCTAGTATACTTGACTAGTGATATTTAAGAATTCACATCAATTATGCAATATTCTATGGTCATTTTCGTGTTTGTTAAAAGCACATTTTTATATCAAATACAACAATTGAACAAAGTCTCAAAATATCTTATATACATGCAAGGATATGAATGATAAGAAGAATTAGAAGAAAGGAAGAGATCAGAGAAGTTGCAACTGATGTGGAGTTTTTAATATTAATTTTTACTGATTTTAAATTTAAAATGATTAAATCTAATTTTTATTTATCTTTCTTTGTCACTTAAAAAATATTTAAATTAAAATTTTAAAATAAAAAATATGAGGAGTCAATGATGTGGCATCTATGTGGTTGCCATGTCAACAAAAGTCAATGTTAAAGTTGACTTCCGTCTGGTCAACCGTTACCTATTACCGTCAACGAAATCGTAAGAACATAGATGACAAACAACTATATATCACACGTTGGGACATAAATGGAATATTGAATAGTTCGGAACACAAATGACACTTTCTTAACCGCTCGGGTTTCTATTAGTCCTTTTACATATTCATATCCTTTTGTAATTAATTAAACCAGATTTAATTTCCATGGAACTCATTCATAAGATTTCGATGGAAACACGAGTACTCATATAAAATATAAATATTATTTATTCAGATCGATCTCCGTGGCTGTGCTGTTGTTTATTTGCTCCAGCTATACGATGCCGGCCAGCAGTACTAGCAATGTAAAGCATGCATGCAGTAACTAGCAAACGGTACGTATAACGGTATTCAGTTTACATTACAAGCACATCGATGGATCTATCTATGTAGAGCACGCCATCTGTGAAGCTGCTTGTAATTAAGTATCATGGTTATTCTTAATTAATTAATTAATCCCTGGTGCAGAGTGTTATGGGGAGCGCAATCCAGATTCGGGTTTAAAGAGAAGAGCTTCTTCATTGTGATGCTGGATTTTCTCACCACATCGCAGCACGTGTCTGTTGAAGCCACCACTGTCAAGCCGGTACAATCCTCCACATGCGCAGCTACGTACGTACGTACACCGGCCGCAAACACAAGTTCAATTCATCATCAGTAACTTGCTAATCAACAAATAACATCATGCATGGCATGGAGGAAGATGAATGAAAGTTCATTAAACATGAATATGATCACCTGCAAAGATTGGAGATCGGCCGTGGAGAAAGACTAGTGCGGCAACCATCGCCAGAAGAAGAAGAAATGGGGAGATTCTTCTTCCCAACATGCTTCCAGACTTCATCATCATCATTCTCTCTCTATATATAAATATTGGTCGGATTTGCTTAAGAAATAATGTTTTTTTCCCTTCTTCTTCTGTTTGATTAATGATTCAATCCAGGCGGCCTTATTTATAGTGCTCGGGCAGAGAGGCACGAGCCTAGAAATTTGAGCTAAGGAAAATTTCAATAATAAAATGAAGAACGCAGTTTTGTTAGCCATATTCTCTCAATTCTATCTTTTGTGCTCTTTGCAGATGTCTGTTTAGGCCGGCCGGCATTATCCTCCCGACGATACCTCTTCTTTCTTCACTCAGGAATATGATAAATGATAATGATTCCCCTCAATATTATATATATATATATATATATATATATATATATATATATATATATATATATATATATATTGGTTCAAGTAGTTGACAATCTCATCCGCCTTCTCATTTTTAACCCCTACTTCCCACACAGACCCAACTAAGAACTCCTACTGCCGGCAAATGATAATTATTCCATAGCAAGATAATTATATATTGGGTGGAGTATTTGACAACCTCTTTTCATCTCGTTTTTAACTTCTGATTCCCACATAGGAGACCAACAATCGAAGTAAGAACTTCTACTATCAATATAGACGGTGTTACATGAGATGTTAGAAGTTTTACGATCTGGAGACAAAGTGAGGATTATAGGTTAAAATTTGCTTACATATTTTTTGTAAGAAGGCCAAATTTTCGGAGGGATGATTTTGCCTATTTTTGGGAATGACATTTGGTGTTCCCAATCTTATTATTTTTTGGTAGTGGTTGGTTCAAATAATTAAAATCACAAAAAATGGTAAATAAAATTAATAAAATTAGAATATGAATTAAAGGTTCTACTAAGGTTATTGGGTAATAGAATATTAATGCATTTCAAAACGTAGCATGTTTTTTTATATTTTGATAATTGAAAAATGAATGTCCATCATTTGTAGTGTCTGACAAAAGGTAAAGTAATCAAGTATGTGAAAAAAATATTCTAAAAAGTGTGAATGTAACAATATATTTAGTAACTTAATTGATAGTTCGAAGATAAAGGATTTAGAAAAAAAAAATATGAAAATTAAAAGATTGAATTGAATTATTTTATAATGAAACCAAGAAGAAGAAAAAAACATCCAAATTTGGCTTCTCCATTATGATTGTAATAATATTGCTCACGTACCTTATTTATACATAACTATCAGGTTACATGTAAACTGTCACAATTCAAGACCATTTTCTTACATACTTTGGAATTGGAAAATCCTGGTGGACAAAGACAAACCCTCTCGATGAATAGTGTAGAAGATGTTCAGGGGAGGAGTTGACGTCAATTGGCGTTGTCTTGAGCTGCTATGACCTCATACTTTTTTAGTTTGAGTTTCATAGTTGGTTGACTATGTATGTCTGGTTCAATTGTAAAGTTCCTAAATTATAGAAAATAACAAGTGTGCTTGTTTGGTAGAATAAGTTATCAATTTTGCCTTATCTCATTAGGGTTGCTTAATCAACTACAATGCAAATGGGTAAAGTTTGATTTTAATTAGAGGTGGGTTGGGTTTTTGGAATTTCCAGACATCTCCTTTCAAAACTACAGGTTGATACCTAAACTAAATAGTTCTTACCATTTAACACATAAATTTAATTCTTTTGAAAATAACTAACTTCCAAACAATGAAAATTACTTTATACTATCTAATTTTTTTGCTGTACAATTTACCAGATATACTTAAAGTTTACAAATAAATCCAATTGTATGTGGACTGTCGAAAGAAAATGGACAAATCTATACTCAACTTATACCCAATTAGAATACGAACACATACCCTACCCAAATTCATAGCACTATCATTTTCAACTAGTTTTACTTATTTGGGCAAAATTACCCATTTGATCAATTGTCATTTGGGCAAAATTACCCGTTTGGAAATTGTGATTCTTCAAATTGATGTATTAGGTCAATTAGTGTATTATCATTTGATGTATTGATTCAATGCATGTATTAGGAAAATACTTTGTTTGGAAGAGCAATGATGAAACAAAAAGTAGGGTAGACAATCCCTCATTAACAATCTCACCTTTTAGTAGATTTATAATCATTCATTTTGAGTGATTGTAGGTGAGCCCAACAAAAAGGTAATGCATGCATTCTAACTCAAAGTGAACCAAAAAAACAACGTAATCTTATCATTACATGTATTTGCTAAATACCTTATTTCAAATTTCAACCTCCAAACGACCCCTAATCACAACACTCGAAATGTGATTTGTGATTAACCAAGTCATATATGTGGTCTAATGTGAAATAAATTCGGCTATGGTGTTTGCGGGAAAGATAGATTCTTCCGTAGCCCGATTCGGTTTCAATTTCAAAGCCACTCTCCGTAGAAAAACAATCGAAACCAGAAAAAGCTCCAAACATGAGGAGTTGCTGCAAAACCCTAATCCAGAGTTCCATCCCTTCCCTCCACAACTCGAAACCCTACTACCTCTCCAATTCCAGCCATGTCTTCCCTTTCCTCCCCCGCGCTCTCCCTAGCTTCTCCTTCAATTCCTCGACTCCCAGAGCCAAACTTCCCCACACCTTCCATATCCACTCTACCCCTTCTAATTTCAGTTCTTCGGCAGCACTAGGAGTAGCAATCTCTTCGGAATCGGCCGAAGATGAACCCCAAGACGACCCGAAGAGGGACACCGTGGAGCACTTGCTCACCAACCCGGACGACATTTCCAGGCTGATGAAGATGGAGAGGCGGCAGCAGGGCGGCTGTGAGAAGCGATGGTTCCCTTACTTGGATGCGTTCAAATGTGGGAATGGCGCGAGCTTGAGTAGCGGCCAAGTGTTGGAAGCAATGGCGCCGTATATGATGGAAGAGAGGAAAGAGAGGTTCAGGACCGCCGTGAAGAACCGGAGTTACTCCGTTTGTCTGGTGGTCGAAGGGTTGAACGATTTCGGGAACGTTTCTGCTACGTTTCGTTCTGCCGATGCGCTTGGGTTTCAGTCTGTTCATGTCATCAACCCGGATAGCTCGAAAAGGTGCTTCGTGGGTTGAGGTGAACCGGATTAAAAATCGTTTCTTTTTTCTTCCTCTGAAGTACATAAGAATTTTTGGATGTGTGAAAGTACGATCTTCTAGTGTTTTAGTAGAATCTCTTGTTCTGAGGGCTGGAATGAGGTATGGAATAGTGAATTGACAGAACAATTTCACCACCTCTGCCCACTTTGCAGGTATAGAGATAACCGACATGTTAGCATGGGAGCTGAGAAATGGTTGGACATTGAACTGTGGGACTCTACTGCAGAGTGCTTCCAAGTTCTCAAGTCTCGTGGTTATCGAATTGCTACAACGCATGTTGGAACCGATGCGGTAATGAATCGTTACCTCTGCATTTTGGGTTACTGTTCTCTTTTGCGAATGATTATGCGAATGCCATCCACTTGAGTTATTATATTTATGAATCACATTATGCAATTTTCAAGAACAGATTTTGAACTGTTGTTGGGATTCCTTTGCTATGACAGGTATCGATTTATGACATGGATTGGTCATGCCCTACTGCAATTGTTGTTGGCAACGAACATAGGTAAGTGTCTCTCAAGCATCGCCATTTCTAATCATAAGTTTTGATATTAATTATTCCCTTTGGATGTGGAGAAAAGGCTGGAACTGCCAAAGATAGTTCTTGTGTCATGAGAGCCCCGGTTAATGCTTCTGATGTTGAGAAGGTGTTTTAGAACTAAGATGAGATCATGACTTCTCACTAGGATGCTTACCTAACAATAGCACCACCTATATTTGATATCCCCACAAACAATCTAGATATTAGTTATCACTGTCTTTTGTTATTGTAGAACTAATTGCTGACAGAGGCTAGTGTTTGCAGGGGGATAAGTGATGAGGCACTCGGACTTTCAGATCTGCATTGCAGTATTCCAATGAATGGCATGGTCGACTCTTTCAATGTATCAGTTGCTGCTGGCATTCTCATGCACCATGCTGTTTGTGACAGAACTTCCCGTCTGGTACCTTTTTCTTATGGCTGGTAGTTTATGACAATCAATATTGGTGGAAGGAGTTACGACATACCCCTGATAATTTGTGAAATGCAGGGGCGACATGGAGATTTAACAGCAGAAGAAAGCAAGATACTGCTGGCTGAGTTCTCACTGCGTCATAGCAAGAGTGCGATAAGCATCGCACATGAATATGCAAAGAGGAGTAAGGCTTCCACGCCTGTGCCAAAGCTGTGATGGAGATGTATCAGAAAAAGCTTCCACTACCAAATGTCTGTGCAGTCTGCAAATCCCCCTCCCGATGTAAACAGAGAAGAATTGGAGAAAAACATCTGCAATGAGCAATTTGCTCTGCTTTGATTGCATCGGAGGCAAAGGAAAAATCACCGGTCAGTTGGCGGTTGCTTGGGAACAACTGGAGGTGATGTGCTTAGCTAGTGCAGCCTCTCTAACTCTTTGTTTGGTTCTTCTTGACGAAGTAAAGAGAGAACGGAAGCAAGTTATACATAATGATAAGTGATATCTTAGAAGTTAGAATTCTTGTGACCCATGAATGTTCTACTTGTTACATGCCGCATCATTTTGATAGTGGAAAATCCGTTTCTCTTTAGAATCTCCTAGTATATATATCCCATTGAACAGAATTTTGTAGACAACCAGATGCATAAACTCTGCTTGACCAGAGTCTGCAATCGTTCATAAAACTCATTTTAAACTAACCACCATAAATCAATTGCTTGATCTGCATTTGGTTTGATTTTTGATCCGGTTTCTTTAGAGAGCTGCCAATGACCTCAAAATCAAGGGCTCAAAAGAGGTTACCCCAAATTTGATATCTCCAAATTTAGCATCCATTTTCACAGGGAAAATTTCAATAGAAATAAACATAAAAATCAAAATCAGATCATCTTTCTCCTATCCTCTTACAACTTTTTTTTTAATCTCTTTTCAGTTTTCCCTCCTTTGAAGGGAAAAGCCTTTTCTAGGGTTTTCCCAGATTAAAGATCTTGGGATTTTTTCTCTGAGTTTGCCCTAGAAATTGCTTTGGTTATTGATTAACATAACTTAGTCTACTATAGATTAATGGTCAATCCAGGTACGTACACATACATGCTTGCAATGCTCTTGTTTGGGTTTGTTCATGATAATAATTTGGTTCAAAATTATTGTATTGGGTAATTGTAATTTAGGATCATACCTTTGGTTTTCCTGTTCATAATGGTTTTTGGATTTTATGGGAGTTCTCCTTCCAGCGGCTAAATCGCCCGCCACTTCTATGAATTTGTAGAATACTTATGATATCATGAGCTTATTGATAATCTCAAAACGAGTTATCGATAAAAGGGAAAAAAATAATTTATTTTAAATGAAAATCAATAATTCACATATAGCTTTGACTTACAAATGTGTTTTCTTTTTGTTCTCTTTCGTTAGGATAAGCCTGTCACCATTTGGCAAGGAGCTGATCACTGCGCTAGCCAAATGGGTTCGAAGATATCAAAGCAAGGGTCATTGAGAGTTGCAAATGCAACCTTGCAAAGTAGCACTCATGATTCATTGATTAGCTATCTCACCACAAGTAACATTTTACGTAACTTGGTGTCCAAGCATCGGCGCCGAATGCTCATCGCCGGTTACGATCTCGATATGTCGTATATCACGGATCGTGTACTCGCGATGTCGTTTCCAGCCGAACGTATGAGGGCCATGTATCGTAACCCACTTTGGCAAGTCAAATCGGTGTTGGATATGCGGCATGGTGGGCACTACAAGGTACTTTGATTCCCAACATCATCTTACCTTTGGGTAGAAATGTTGACATATTCAACGGATGCACATGTTGATTTTGTCTGATCTCATTGTCTATCCATAATGACATTTTTGTAAACACACCTATAAAATTATTTTCTAGATAAAAGCACACTTAGGTGAGTGATCAATCGATATTGAGTCGCGCATCTATCCAATCCTATCAATACCATCATTGGAGTTATGTTGGCCTTTGATAACTTTGTTATCCATACTTTGTACATTGCAGGTGTATAATTTATGCATTGAGCAATCGTATGATCCATCACACTTTCACTCTCGGGTCGAGACGTTCCCTATCGACGATAATCACGTCCCAGCTCTGCCCATGATCAAGCTGTTCTGTGAAAACGTTGATTCCTGGTTATCTCAAGATCCTAAGAACCTTGCTGTTATACATTGCATGGTAAATTTTGGTTGCTACAACGATTTTCCCTTTCGTATTCTGTTCTGAAGACTGCGAATAAAGCGTGGATTCAATTGTCTTGGTCACTCATTTTTATAGGCTGGCAAAGGTCGAACTGGATTAATGGTCTGTGTTTACCTAGTCTATTGCGGCATGACAGCAGAAGATGCTCTCCAGTTGTATGCGAGTAAAAGGACTACCAACAATCAAGGTGTAAGTTTTAAGAACAGAGAAGATTAATTCGACCATTGAACTTTCTTTATGTGACGAATTCGATACATAAACTTTATATCGAGTCAAAACCCAGAATTAGCAGGGTTACCAAAGTTTTTCTGTGTTTCTAATTGTTGCAGGTGTCTATACCAAGCCAACGACGTTATGTTCAGTACTGGGCTAGTGCACTTACTTTTCCTAGGGGAATCAACAATGGCCCTCCGGACGTGAATTTGCCTCCACCATGTAGCAGAGAACTGCGACGAATCCGGCTATACGACATTGTTAACACAGACTCTGTCTTCTTTGTGGTCTCAGAGTTGCAGGAGGTAAGTAATTCCCAGTTCTGAAACTTGTTTCTCGCAGGCTGAATCTCGAGAGTCGTTACGTTGTGTTGATCTCATTTAGAAATCCGCAGATTCCTGGTCAGTTGTATCGTCCATCGGTAGAGGTTGCCAAAGGTAGTTGTAGGCAAGTTAGACAAGGATATCATAGGACTTATAGTCCGAGGTATTACATTTCTTTTGTGGAAGATGATGAAGATGGGAAGACATCAGATTCAGATCATCAGGAACCTCATGTTGTTGTCCAGATGGATACTGAGAGTTCCATCATCTACCAAAAGACATGTCTTGATCATTACTTTGAGAAGCCAGTAGAGGTAAGTAGCGAACATTTCTTGAACCAAATTATTAATGATCAAAGACAAACCAGAGAGTTTTTCCTTATTGTATATGAAATCATGCCCAACTACACAGTTAAGTGGAGATGTACGAATTATATTCTACGAGAAGATGATAGGAGGGAGACTCTTCTACGTCTGCTTCAACACATCTTTCATAAAGAACAGCTTGTTACAAGTACTACTGATAGAGAATCCTATTTCCCTCTTCTGTTATATCAAATTCAAGATTCTGTGAAATACAATAGTAATTATTTTGTCTTGTGATGTTGTTGTAGTTTACACCTGGAGATCTTGATAAACTTGGGAAGAGAGGCAGGTCAATGTGTGGCCCTTCATTTTGCTTGGAGCTTACGTTTGGCCCTGCAAACTCAAAGTGTTCAGAGTTGCCCTTTGTTAGCAATGTTGATTTTAGTGATGGACTAGAAGAAATGTGATCAAGAACTGAGAAGAGCAATGTGATCCTCCTTGTAATGTGGTTTTCGCCCTTGTAAGAGAACATTAATATGTATCACAACTTCTTGTTGTTGCATAGCCATAGTTTCTATATCCATACTCAAAACTGCAATGAGCATTGAGATATGAGGAAAATCATTTATCTTTACTTCAGAAGATATAGAAGAAAAAGATTCATGTTTGGAGAAATTCATTTCTTGAGTATTTGATCGGGCATTTTTGTACTCGGAAACACATTTACCCTCCTTTACACATTAATCTTTGGTTGTATGGGTGAATTTCAATTTGCAGTCTTTGGTTGTATGAAAAATGAGACGGGGCATCAAAATATCAATTGAAATATTTACAAAATGAATTCAATAATTCATTGTTTTCTTACAAAGATGAAAAGAAGTTGACCAAATGAAAGGGTCAATCTTTTCATGATGAGGGGAGTGACGACAGAGATTAAATCAAAAAAGTTTTAGAAGTTCTTGTACTAGAGAGACTGACTAGGAGACTAAGACTAGATTCACCAACCAAGTGTTTTTCTTTTCATATTCACTTTCTAAATAATTTCATCAAATTTAAGTTTTAGTAAAAACAAGCATACATTTACACATTATTCTCAACTTTCATTACAAATCATTAATCACTCTAAAACTTACAAATTAATTATATCTAAAATTTTATCTCGCAAAAAATTTTCACTAGCCAGCTTTGTCCTTTAAGAAAAAAAAAATATTCTTGAAGTTGCATTCTTGATAATTATTTCGCACATTTCATTCACAATTAGAATTATTAAGCCACAAGCAGACAAAACTTACCAAAAACCGAGATTTACTGTTCATTACGAAAAAATCGCGTAACACTGTTCACGAAGAGACATGATGATTGACTGCGGCCGTACCTACGTGAGCTCATCTTTGGGTAAGCCAAGTCTGGCCGTTGATTTAGACAAAACATGACCGTTGATAAAAGTCCTCATCGTGGGCCCCGTGCCTCTTCTCTCTATTCTTCTACGTCAAATCAAAACCCACTGCCACCTCTCTCCTCTCTCATGTAGAACTCTCCCTTTCAAGTGGAACTTTTCCTTCCCCATCCTTTCTCTGCTCACATTTTCCCATGACAAAGTAAAGGCAATATTAATTAGTGGGAGGATTAGTTCTCCATCTCTGAATGCCCTCAATGGCTGCTGGAAGACGAATCGATTCCTCCTCTTTACCAATCCCTTCCCATCTCAACCTGCCATCTTCTCTCCAATCCCTTCCCATCTCAATATCCGATCCAGAACCTGCCATCTTCTCATTCCCCGTCATCTCTAACCTCCGACCAGACAAAGACCCTTCTATCCCATCTCTTCTCCTTCCATTCCCCGATTCACAAACGCCGGCAGGAGATTGTGGCGACAACAGATTTTCCATCCCCGAACCCACTGTTTGGACGCCGAAAAGCGACACTTGATTTCCCCTCTCTCTCACCTCCCTGAACCCGTTGAATGTCACGGCGGAGGGAGACGGTGGCGTCGAAAGACACGGCGGTGGAAGAAGGAGGGGACGAATTTCTTGAAGGCTAGCCAAAAGCGACACTTGATTTCCCCTCTCTCTCACCTCCCTGAACCCGTTGAATGTCACGGCGGAGGGAGACGGTGGCGTCGAAAGACACGGCGGTGGAAGAAGGAGGGGACGAATTTCTTGAAGGCTAGCCAAATCAGGTTCTTCATTCGTGTTGTTCCCTTCCTACGCCACCCACCTCCTTCGTTTCCCCTTCCAAATCAAGCTTCTCGATTTGAAGATGGAGATTCTTCCCTCCATTTGGGTTGATTTAGCATCTGTTGGATTTCAGGCGAAAGGGAAAGGGGTTATCTCCATTTCTCAGTGATTCTTTTGATGGCCGATTCTTTGGAGGTGATTAGAAGTTTAATTAGTTGTTTGTTCTTCATTTGATTAAACTCATTCTAATTGTTTGTCGGATATCTATATGATTTGAGTGTGGTTACATATACAGATTTTCAGGGAAGCTGAGATACCAGTTGAATGGGAATAACATTATGTCGGGACTGAGGTTGATCCTCAAACCCAGACCTTTCTAACATGGTAAAGTTTGGAGTCTGTGATACCAGTTGAATGGGAATAACATTATGTCGGGACTGAGGTAGATCCTCAAACCCAGACCTTTCTAACATGGTAAAGTTTGGAGTCTGTGAGAAGAAACCGAGTGGATTTGAAAGGGCCAGTGGCTACAGCAATTGGAAAGGGCCATCATTCTTGAATCTCACTCTCAGGGAAGAACTTAACCTGTATGCCAATGTCAGGCCTTGCTACAGCCTTCCGGGTTACAAAGCCCGATAAAATGATGTGAATCTCATCACCATCCGTGAGAGCACTGAAGGAGAATACAGTGGACTTGAGCACCAAGTGAGTTTTCTATCTGGCTTTGGTTAACTTGCAGCTAGCCAATTATATGTCTTAATGAACTTTGACATAATGATGATTTTGGGAGGTAGGTGGTAAGATGTGTATTTGAAAGCCTCAAGATCATTGCTCGCCAGGCCAGTTTGAGGGTGGCTGAATATGCTTTCCACTATGCAAAGGCTAACATCATTAAGGGGATATTATTATGGACATAAATCGTCGGGAGATAAGAGTTCAGGACTTAACTTCTTACCAGTGGCATTTCTCTTTCACTTGGAAAGGTAAGAAAACTGATATTTGAATACTTTTGCTAGAATCATTGTAGTGCAGTTTTATTGATACTACATTAAGAATCAATTAAGTAGATGTTTTCATCCACTAGGGACTGCAAAATGAGATATATCGATGTGTGCGTTAGGTGATTTCCCCAAGCCTCATAATTCTAACTAATATATATATGTGTAAACGTGACTGATTAGGAGAATGTCTACTGCTATGAAACTAAATAGTAGAAAAACACTTTACATTGAAGCCAAACGTATACCGACGAAGCTAATAAGGAATAGTTTAATAATTCTAATTGGGGAATAAAAGAAAAACTATTCAGTTATGCATTTGTCCAAAACAAAGTCGTTAAGGAGAAGGAAAAGGAAAAGGACAAGGAAGCAATTAAGGAAAAGTACAATTTCTCTCCGATTATACTTTCATATATAACTTTTTAGTTCTACTTCTGTATAATTTGTGCAAGACGAAGTTGTCAAGGAAAAGGACAACGCAGCAATATAAATCCCTTTAAATTGACCTTCGTAGATAAACACCAAGCACTCACAAATTTACCCTTTCATTGCGATTACTTCTTCCTTTGCAATATGTTCTCTGAAACTAAAACCAAGTTCCTACACGAACTCACTGTTGGCGACAACAAGGGAGTCCTCAAGCTCCGCCTCATCCACTCATGGAAGTCTACTAATCCAGCAAATCCTGGTGTAGACACCACATTTTGTCCGGGATAATTGTTTTACTGAAAATAATTATTATAACGTCGTACTACGATTATATTTAAAAAGGAAGCTGAAGATTGTTTGGTTGAGACTAGCAGTTGCAAGTCAATATGAACCAACAATTATCAAATTTGCTCCAAGTTGATTTTAGGGCATAATTGGTTAAGATAGAATTAATTTGAGATAAGATTAGCAGTGGCAAATCTTAAACATCAATTCTAAAAATAATAGAGGTTCGAAGCTTGAGGTTCGAAAATGGGCGTAATAGATGAAATGGAGGCTGAAGCTTTGTAGTTAAATTTGACACATGGTACAAAGTATGAACTAAAATTAATTACAATGACTGCCTGTTACTAATAACAACAACAAAATTTGAAGTTTGAACACCATTTCAAACTAGGCCGACTAATCAATTAAAATCATTGGGCCCATTTTCTCCTCTCTTTGAGCCCAGATCAGATCACTAACCTGCATAATGAAAAAGAAAATGATCAGAATACAACCCAAAACAGAGCCCAATTCGGCCCAAAACAGAGCCCAGGTTCAAGACTAGACCTAGCCCTGTATCGGCCCAAACGAATTCAAGGCCCAACTTGGCCCAATCTCATCCAGGCAGTTAGTCAGCACCGACTTTCTAGGTGGAGGCTTGAGAAGCAGCCTTGAGAATCAACCAATCAGAGAGGAGCATGACATGCTCATCATCAATCATAGACTAAGCAAGGTGGAGGCTTGAGAAGCAGCCTTGAGGATCAACCAATCAGAGACAAGCATGTCATGCTCATCATCAATCGCAGCATGACACGTGGCAGGCAATTCTTGCTATAAATGAGCTCTTTGGGCTCTGTGTTGGGGGGGACGAAGGGGAGAAGAAAGAAACACTCTACAAAAAGTGAAATATTTACATTCCAAACAGTTTTTTTTTCGGTTCTTGCTCTTAGCCGAAGTTCATTGGAGGGAACTGCGAGATTGGAGGAGCATATTTGAAGACTGACGCAGGAAAAGGCCATTCTTAGGCCTAGAAATTCAGGTTGGTACTAGTATCAATTTCCATCTTTCATTTTTTATCAAGTCCATACAATCATTATGATGTTATAATCGTCCATCTATTTGCGTATTTACATTCAAGCATTTTAATTTACAAGCTATTCATAATCAAGCGCTTTATTTACCAAGATCTGCTCATAGTGATGGCATTAAGCTTCTTTCAATTTAGCACTTGTTTACTTTTCTCATCAATTGATAGTCTCTATTACAATCTTATACTATGCCGTCATATTTACTGTTAGCATAATAGTTGATAAACACTAGATCATCATAAACAAAACAAACAAAATCAAATCCAAATCTATGGCAACGAAAAAGACAAAAATTTCGATTCACAAACTTTTACCAGTTCTTTAATCAATCAAAAATCATACATATAATAAAATCACAAACACAAACAGTGATTAGTGGTCAACATTTTAGCAAATCACAGGCAGAGGCTGTGATTTATATTCGTCAAGGTTAGCATTTTAGAACATGTTAATTACTTCTCATTAAAGAAAATTCCTTTCTTTGCAAATTTTTGCATATCGAGAGTCACATCTAAAAGCAATCCATCATCCGCTTTTTCTTAGCTAAACCCCTTTAGCATACGAGAATCAGAGTTTAGGGAACCTTACCCAGATCTGGCCTTTGTATTTTTACCTGCAAAAAGAAAGAATAAAGGATCAGAAGAAACCCAAATTGAAGTAAACGAAAATTGAACAGGAAAGCAAACCCATAAAGGACTTACCCCAAACAAAACCCTCGCCGTCGGCTCTGGCGCTGGTCGCGCCGCCGGCGACCGCCGCCCTTCCCTTCCTTCCCTCAGCGGAAGTCCGAAATCAAGAACAAGAAGAAAAAAAAACAAGTCAAATCCCAATCTTGTTTGTTAAAATGAATAAAAAAAGGACATGCATGTAAAATGGAGCTTACCTGAGGGTACAACCTCCTCGTCGTCACCTCTATTCCAAC